AACCTTCAGGCCCGTGCTGTGCAAGCAGTACATGAGTCCTGCATAGTAACAAGAGGAAGAAGGACGTGCTTGCCTCGTGGCAGACTGGAGATTTTGCTAATCAACTCATTACAGTGGCCTCAGGCTCTAATTACACAGAATTCCGCAAACCGCGCGCTCTCTCATGCTGTCTCTCTGTCTCTGAATGTTTCAACTTCCTGAATAAGAAAGGTTCCTAAAATGGAAAAATTCCCATTTGCAGCAGAAGAGATAAATATGCAAATAAAAACAGTTTGTATTCTACTCTTGTAAAAATTAAGTTCCTTAGAAGTAGAAAATATAATTGATACTGAGATTTCCTGGTTTGGGGAGAGGATTTTTATGGGAACACTCTTATCAGCCAAAGATTTTATCACAAATTGAAAAAGAAAATTGATGTTTTCTCCTTAGGAAACCAAAGCATTCACTGGTGTTGCTGTTGAGTGAAAATGTTTGTGCTACTTTCCTTCATGTAGATATGTACTTTCCAACTTTCCATCTCTACCAATCTCAACAGTAAACTGTAATCACACAAGTGACTTCACATATGCTGGCTGATATTTGGCACATATTCTTCCTAAAGAAAAAAAGCCTCGACTCCTGATTCTGTATGTCTGCTGGAGAGCAAACGATTTTCAGGTCAAAGACCTTCATATTACACGGCTGATGCCATTACCTTTGGCCACATCACTCTAGTATACCTGTTCAAATGTGGTAACCTATGTTTGATAAATGTGTTCAAATTAATAACCTATAACTCTTGCTACTGAATGAAATGGTGGTTTTAAACTGACGGGAGTACTCAATTTATGATATTCAATTTAAAAAGAGGTGACACCTCTCTTGAGAGTTTCAGTTTCACTAGTCAGTATGACTACATAGAGGGTTAGAACATTCCCTTCCCCGTCTTTGCTGGCTAGACAAAGGGGTTGTTTATATCGGCTTCCTTGACCTCATTCTCCTTTCTGTAACTAGCTTTTGCCAGGTGTACATTGAGAGAAAGGTAGGGAGAGTAAGGCTACAGCAGATGCATTATGACCCTTGTCCATGCCGATTGTTCTCATCTCCATCCTCTCTCATCAGTAGACACTAATGACACATTCGACCTTTACTTAAATGAATACCTCGAAAGGGAGGACAGTACAGAAACTGTGCCTGAGTCTTACTTTTGCATCCTCAGGACCTAGCGCAGCGCTTGGCTACAGAGTTAGCAACCTAATGAAAGTTTGTTGAGTAAATAATAAATAATAAATAATAAATGCACTGCTGCTACCTATACACTATCATTCCCCAGGAACCCAGAGTATAATACAGATCTTTCTCTTTTATTTTCTATCAAGTTTCCAGTTTCAACAGTGGTCAGCAATAATAAGCATTTGGCTCTAAACATTTCACTTTAACACTTCTAATGGGAATGTTAAGGATTTGTCATTTATAATTTATGTCTTTACAGATACATGTAGCCATTGCACAGACTTTCCATTAGCTTAGCTACTTGTGAAATAATTTCAAATAAGCTTCATCAGATTCTCTAAGGGCAGCCCTGGAAGAGTACCTTTGCTAAAATAGGCTGCAAAGGAGGTTGGCGTGAAGAATGTTCTTGCAAAAGCGACCTCGAAAGACAAATAGTGCAAGTGAATTCATTACATTTCACCTTCTCTCCCTCTGCTCTTCTGATAATTTTGCTTTGCTTAACGTTTTGAATATTTAATGCTATGCTAATTTTATTCCATTCAATATCATTTCTATTCTAGAGAAAAATTTACAGAAGCTATTCTGCCAATATTTAAAATAAATGGGGGTGGTATTTGGAACATTTGCATTGTTTAAGATTATTCTGAACCTCAAAAATTGCTTTATTTTCTCTGTAGGCTTTCTTTTAATGTTTAAAAAAGTGACAAATTCTAGTAATGCATTCATTTTCTCAAATTTTGGTTTTAGGTAAGAAGAGAAAAATTAGATTTCACTGGGGCTGAGAGTCAACAAGTTGACTATGCCACAATCGTTCTGAGAGCATTATTTGAACATTGATGCATTCAAAGAGGACAAAAACAGTATCTTCCGTGCATTCAAACACAGAGACGGGATCTTCTCCGTATATTATACAAAAAAAAATAACATTGATCTGTGATTTAATTTTCTAGTTTTTCTATTAAAGCCCCCGCAAAGTAATGTCTCCCTCAAAACGTAGCATTCTATTGAAATTTCTACTCACTGAAGAACTTACTCAGGCACCATGTGGCCAGGAATGACGTGGGAAAAAAGAATCGATCACATCTTAGAATGTTACAGGTGACTGAGACATTAGAGGTCATCTCATCTAAACCCTGACTTTGTCAGCAAGATAATAAAGGCTCAGGAGGAGAAAACCATTTTCCCATGTCACACATGTTAATACAAAACTCACAGTCTTCCACCGTCCCAAGTGCATTAACATTCTAGTATATAGATTTTTCCAGTTTCTATATGTTTAAAAGAGACTGTCATCTTGCTCACCACAAATCTTGTACAAAAATATGTACTTTCATATACAAATTTGAGTGATTCATATACAAATGTTCAGTTCTCACCACATTATGGATTTTCTGTTTAGCTTTTATAAAAGTTGTGTAGGTGAACATGGTATATATAAAGTGTATAAAGCTTTTTAGAACAGAGATTTTGCTGGTGGAAGCAATTTACAACATTTCAGCTAATAGTTACTTTAAAAAGAAAGATGAGTAAATTCTTGAGTTTTACATCTGTCGACTCTTTTCCTGAAGCTAATAGAGCACGAGTGTTTGGCATGCACGTTTGGGTCAATGATCATTTTGATGAGCCAGCTCTTTCTTCAGGAAGCAGGTTAATGTCAGTCTTCTCCAAGATTACCTTCCAGTTTTCACAGCAGTGAGAAATTAGTCTGTGTGGCGATATGCTAATTGCTAATTTGGGTTTTGTAAGGAAATGCGACTTGCCTGTAAGGGAAAGAAAGGAACAGTTGTAATAGGTGCAGCTGGAGGTGAGCAAGGAAATTTCAAGGGAGGTTTTACGGGTAGAGCGGACCTGATTTTTTGTGGGGCACGGCTTCATGCACTTTCTGTTTTTACAAAGTCCTTTTACCAGCACTTCCATAATCATCCTACTCAGAACATCCTACTTCCTCCACCCCCCAATTCTCCACCTCATCCCAGGCTGTTTCACTTATATACCCTGGGGAAATCTCAGCAATAAACAAGTATACTACATGCAACTTCTTAATATATAAACTGAAAGAAGGTTGATTTAACATTTGCTGTATTTTTTAATGAAGACCGGGCATTTGTTGTCAACGAAACATGTTTAAATAAAATATACTTTATGAAAAGCTTAAAGTGATTTTTAACAAATTAATATCAAAAAGATGGAAAAAGTAATTTCATTTCCAAGTTCTCTGTCATTTCAAACTTCAGCAGAATTCCAAAAAAAAAAACTTACTTATTATTGCACTTTTTATCTGAACAGCATATTTTCTGAATTTATCTTTGGATTCAGATTATTTTCCAGATTAATGATGACACACTATGCTTTTTCATCTAAACAGTCTTAGTTATTATCTTAATAATACTGGGGAAAAGTATAGTGTCTGCATGTTGTTAAAATGTCAAAAATGTCATTTTTTTTCAAGACTTCTAGAACTAGCCAGTGAAAAAAATCAAGAAGCACCCGACCTAAAATATACTCACAGACCAAATATCTATTAGTATGTTTTATTTAAGAAAAAACTGTAGGATAAAACCTCCATAACTTGCCAATAGGTTATATTTAGCATATTTTCCAAATACTAACTTAAAGAGGAACATTGATTTTCAACCAGAAATATGATTTCATGCATATAATTTTTAAACACATCACACTTTGAAAATCTTTGTTTCCCCTGTGTGATAGAAGGCAGTAGAGTGGAGCACCCTTTCTCTTGACAGCAGCTGGCAAATTATATATGCTTATTAAATAATTGGTATAATATGATTTAGTGAGCTTTTTATAAATTTGAAAACATGTCATCTAGAGTAATCCTGATATGACCTTGTTATTAATTAAATTGACGTAAGGGGTATTAAAACCAAAGACAGGGGTCTCAGATAACTGCAGGGGTGCTGGTCATGACTCAGTCCTTTTGCAATGCAGTTACGCCCACCTCCTTCATTTATAAACTTGTAAGGTTGAACTATGTCGCCAAGGCCTCCTCCAGTTCCCCAACCCTATAAATCAAACTACCTATAAAAATAAATGGAATTCAGCAATGTTCAGTTTCTAAAGTCAAGTTGTAAAGGGTAGAGACTTTTTTATTAACAAGTGCCGGAGGTGATATAGAACTCTGTGGGTGCTCAGTAAATATTAAACAATCAGCTTTATCTTTTATCTGCAAAATGGGATGAGTAATGCTGACGTGTCTCACAGAATTCCGTCTGAGAAATAATAAATGAGAACAAAGCACTTTTCAGATAATGAAATAATTTGAATAATCTGCTTTAACAGTTCTGAGGTCCAGCTAGATGATACAGGAATGAAGTGTCTTTTTTATTATTACATCTGTGAGATACCACAGTCTTTTTCATCTGTTTCAGAAGAAACAGTCATTAGCTTTGCTTATCATCACACAGTCAACATGAGTAATTTCTGTGCAAATGGAATTTTTCATATGATTTTAATGTTTATCACTTATAACAAAATGCAGCTTTTATCTTTACCTGATATCAAAGTGGAATTATATCTTGATTTTAATAGTTTAATGAGGCATTCTATCAGCATTATACTGCTCAGCCCGCAGAAAATGCCTTTTGCAATGACTGATAAGCTGCACAAGTGAAAAAATTGTAAATTTAATAATCCTCCTACTCAAAAAACTACACTTCAAAATTCTTACTAAGAAAAATTATGTGTTGCATTCTAGCTTCCGGGAGACTTCCAGTTTGTTCTTATTTATAATTGTGTTCGAGAAATAATGTGTGCTGTATTTTTTACAGTGTTTCAACAAAAGGCCGCCAGGAGACAGTCTGATGGTGACAAGTTCCAGGGTCCCAGGAAACAAGGTACCGACACAAACGTCAGCTTATTTAATTCTCTCCAAAGAAGAGTTAGAGAGGGATTATGAACACTAAATAAAGTCTCTTGGGGTAGAAGTAAATAAGTGTACTTGATTAACTTTACTCATAACTTTGTCTTACCCAAATATAATTTTGCCATAATAAGATTAATGCCAAAAATAGTTTAATTAACAAAGGCAAGAATTGGCCTTATTAGAATATTTGTGGCTATGTTGATGATGTTATCCGGGCTCTAGGAAGGTCGAGTAAGACAAATTCTCAAACATGCATCAGAGTATGCCTCTATAGACCTTTAGAGAGAAGCCTCTGAAATTACCTGGAGGGAGGCCAAGATGACTGACTGCCTCCACAAGGGGCCAGCCTGGGTTTTATGTGCTCTACACTGGCTCCAATCAAAGACCCTTTCTCACTATTCTCTTGCCTTCAGCACTTGATCCTATGTTTTTCAAACCATTACTTGTCATGCAGAGAAAAGCTAAATACTGAAGCAATAGAGATATCTCACCCAGGAGAGCTATTTTTCTCTTGCTCTATTAAGTAAGTGGCAGCTGCCTCCTGTTCTCCCTGACACTCTTGGTTCTCAGTAAAAAGAGAAAATCTACATATTAATTTTTTTCTGCTAACAAGGCCTTGGTTAGAGTTCAACAATGAAAATTGTAAAAGGTGGCACAGGTGGAGCTAACACTGGCTGGCTCGATAATCGCTCAGCATGCACAAACACTTTTCACCTCAACACACCTTTGAAATAACTTCAGTCCAAATCAATATTACCTTGAAACTGTTACCAGTAAATTATTGAGAGCAGCATTAAAATAAAACCAGGAAATTTTACAACAGCTCCTAAACACTCCCATAGTCAGTCACCTTTTGTGTCATTTTGCAGACAGCTGGGTACTGACTGTGCCAATGTCTAACACCCCTGAACCTCAAAGGGCCTGCTCCAAGGATGCCATTGATTGTCCTCTGAACAAAGCTGTGTCCCTGCAAAGATTGTTATTCACCCATGACTTCAAGTGGTGTTTCCCACAGCAGGAAGTCTCTACTTTTAGATTATTCTTCCAACTAAGCACCTGGTGTTCGAGTGCGGCACATGACAAAGCTGAACTTCCAGTCTACCATGAATGTCTTAGATGTTCTGCTTATAGATTTACAAAACTTACAGACTTATATATGCAAAAGTTCTACTGGAAAAGTTTCCATTTCTAACAATTCCATATTTGGGGGGGAAGGTGTATCTTTGTAAGTCTACTGCTATTCTACCACTGTGTCTTTAGCTCTCTTAAGAAATTGATGCAGAACTTCAGAGGTGATCTTTGGATCTTTGGATCTTAGGATCAAACAGCGGATGAAGAATTACACAAATCAAAGATATTACTTCTCTCTTGACTTCCCCCCATACCTCAAAGAGCTTTGGGAAGAGTAAGGAGAGCAAATGTCTTGAGCTGTTTAGGAGACTATTTCCATGAAGCATTTTTTATAAATTATCCAATTATCGTGTTTTAATTAAACTCTGTTAGGAGTCAGGGGAAATGTGGAGAAGGCCACAGGTGATGAAGGAAGGTGACAAGTGACAAATGTAATGAAGAGATCCTTGATCTCTTCACTTGAACGCTTCATCTTATCAATTATTTTTCTGGCTGCTCCACAGAGAGCAATATATGGAAAGGCTGTGAATGTCCATGGAGCTTAGATGAGAATGATTATTGTTCTACCATGTGTATAGAGTAAAATTAGTCCCTTCTGTACCCAGAGAACAAACAAACAAAAAAAAAGTAGGAGAGAACAGTGAAAGGAAGTGAGGACCTAATTATAATTTTTGGATGACTACCTGTTCATATCTTACCTAATTTGCTTCAACTATGTCAATGACTGCCAGGTTTTTTAAAATATTTGAGGGCTATGATTCTGAAATTTTAATTAAGGTTTTTTCTTTGCAGATTTTTTTCTTTCTATACATTTAAATCCAATTTCTTGATGATTACTCAACTTAGAGCAGTTTCCTTAGATTTCTTTAACCCTAGACATCAGTAATTCAGCATAACAGAAAAAAACATTGATATATTTACAAGGACTAGAGAAATATAAACTTCATGAAATGTTTTTTAAAAAACCTCTCTGATTACTGCAATCTGAGAAAGAAAAGATAATGGAGAATAATTGGGAATACTTTTTTAATTAAAGACTTCTAAGTGCCTAAAAGGGCTTACTGTATACAACCATTTCTGTCTAAACCTTTTAGGGTATTTATGACCATCCAGGCCATAGGACATACTGGGCGGTCGAAACTTCCAGGATTCAAATATTCCAGAATTCCATGGTATAATAGGAAAAGCAGTAAGTGCTTCACCAATGATAATCTCTTAATTTGGTAAAGAACAGCAACAAAAAAAGGCCCTTCTATTAAATGTTTGTCAGAGTCAAGATTTTCTAAAGGGACCAGACAAGTTCCCTAAAAAAGGTTAAGGAAATTATTTATTGCACTATATGCTGATAGGAAATGGGACTACGAGAGCCAACTATATTTCCACTGAAAATATAAGTGTTTCAGATGGGCTGTGTTCACAAGTGCCAGGGGTTGCCAGGAAGTTGCACTATTGCTAAATCAAGGAATTTTCCTGAGGAACAGAAAAAAAATTAATTGGCACCATTTCCGTGGAAACTCAACAGATTTATTCAACTCAGTTTTCACATCTTGAAAAAACATAAGGAACATTCTGAGGACTTTGGATCACAAATAAAAGTTTCCATCAAAATACAACTTTCCCAAGTTGGTTTTGAAATTAGAAAATGCCAGAGTGGTATAACAGAAAATGCTGCTTCCACAACCTCCACCTTTTCCCAAAAGTGAGCCTCGTGAGCTAGCCAAGGGTTTGTTCTTCACGTTGCAAGCCAGAGACCCGAATTTTGTCAGTGTCTTTGGACTTGATCACAGTTTTGAAGTCTGAGTCACATTAACCAAGCTCATAGAGGCCTAATCTGCAACCTTTATAGTCCTTAATTCCAACCTGTTAAATCTATACATTCTAGTGACTAGATTACTTCCCACTGACTGGAATCCTTACATTCATTAGGCCTCTGCAAATAATAAAGTGTCTATAAAAGAGAATTAGTAATTAGAAAACTACTAGGTAAGCATGATTAAGTCAAAGGAGAATGGAGAAATTTGAGGGCTCCTTCCTTAAGGATTTAGAAATATCTGCTCAATTTTTTCTGCTCACAGAATAATATAATAATCTAGGGTTAACAATGCTCATGTCTCCCAAACATGTTACATTCATTTTCTCTGTTATATTATTTTTTCTTGGACAGTGCCAAGGGGCCTTTCCTGTCCTCCCCAGAATCACCCCTATTTTATCCATGCAGTCTTACCTCAGATCTGGTACATGGCAATAGATGAGATTTAGCCTTCTTTACGTTTTAACTGCCATACTGATCATGAGTCACATCCACAGCTCCCAGCCACACAGTTCAGTACTGAACTGCATGCAGGTTGTGCTGTTGCTGTTGCTCTTACATGGCAAGCCATTTGTTTGAGGGGGGGTGGGAGGTGGTGAGGGGAGGGGCAGAGCACATCCACCTTAACCAACTGCCTATACCAGTGACTCCCAACCTTAGATGAGCATAAGAATTATTTGAAAGTTTCTAAAATGTGGTTGGCTGCATCTGACCTTAGACATGGAATAAAAGTAGAACATATGACAAGCAATAATCTAAAAACCAACATACAAAAGACAAAATCTAACCAAAAGAAACTGTTTCAGAAGCATACTGTGGTCAAATTTGGCTTCTGAATGTATTTCTAAAGTAATCTGTACAATGTAATCTTCATCATTGCCATGTTTAAACCCGTGTTTCATGTAAAAATTTAAATCTCCAACCATTTTCTATTATATAATTATATCATCTGCACTAATGACTTTTGCTCTTGTCATTTGTTAACAGGCTTTCTATGTTGTTTTCTTAATTTGAGACACATTTCTCTAAAAGTATAATTCTATCAAATGTGGAAGAATAAGAAAATGTAGAAAGATTCATGTTACCATAAAAATGTGAAAAAGAAGATATTTATTTGTGATAATGAAGACTATTCAGATGTGTTTAATAAGCAGGCAATGAATCTTCTCTGCTCAGCAAGTCTATCTGCCTGGCTCCTGTAGGCTTCGAGTTTGCAATTCCTGGTGCAGCCCCTGCCCGGTAGCTTCACTACCGATTGCACAGTTGTTATTGGCTGGTCTCCTTGGGGAGTGTTCGTGTTCATGGGAAAGATACAGTCAGAGAACACATCTTGTGTGTTCTCTAAGTGCCCAGTGCTGCGGCAGTTTGATAAATGTTAAATAATAAAATTTTCTATAAGTAGGAGACCTGGGAAAATGTGAATAGTATTACCCTTATTTTTGAAAAGAGAATGCTGTTCTCTGAGGCATTTTCTCCAGGCTGTTTTTGCCAGCACCAGATATATTAAAAAGAAAGGAGGGAGAGTTATCAAACTGTAGTCATTTGTACTCCATAAAAGAATAATGGACTCAGTTCTCTTTTTCAGTATAACTTACATTTCCATTTATCATATTGTTCACAAAAGCTTTTTTATTAAAGTCATACCTGGAAAAATGTTTTTAATAGTTGGGGTTTTGTTTAGAATGGTGATGTGTCTATAGCCCACAGTGTGGCCTCTCACAAATAAGTATTTGGAAGTCAAGGCATCAATAAGACAGAGCTCTCAATAACAGTGAAAACAAAGACCGGAAAAAAAGCAAATGCTAGTGTAGTTGGGAACTAATCCAGCTAATTCTAAGACTGCAAAAGGAGACTGAAACAAAGTCAGTAGTCCGCCAGATCCACAGGTCTCACTCACACAGATGCTAAGCTTTCAAAGTTTTTCCCTCTCCAGCTCTGGCCTTTCTGTGTACGAGTACATTCAGAGAATAGCCCTCTCAATAGAAAGTGAGGAGGGGGATCTCATGTTACTTTTTGCATCCCAAGAGGCT